CTAACCGTGTTGTCATTAAGCATATTCTTCCCCATCTGACTTCCAGCAGAATGATCTTTTAAATTATTTGTCATTAATATCCATCTAGCTACTTATAACCACCCTCTGGAAAATGAATATTTTATCACCATTTCAAGTCACACTCTGTAAATTGATCTGACATGCATGCTTGAATTCAGATTGAGATTATTCCGCCACACAAGAGCAGCTCATATTTAAACAGTCATTTCATGTGGGTTCTGCAGTTGCACTGTGGCCTTTAATGGTAATGATAACTTTGGTTTATGCATTCAATATTCAGTTTATTCAAATATTTTTGTACATCAGATTGTGTGTGTGTCTGTGTTTTTTTTTTGGACCTGTATAATCATTAACATTGTTTTTTTTTCTCTCTCTCTATTTAGACATCGAAAGTAAAAATGGGAGATTAGATGACTACACAACCTACAGATCAAAGATGCTGTGTTGCTGGTGCAAACAGGAGGTGTAAATACATAGTAAATTATTTAAATGTATTTTCCTTTGTGTCTGTTTTTAACCATCATTTTCTGAAGATTGAAATATTCTGTGTGCACCAATTTGTCTTAAAAGAGTGCATGATGATGTCAAAGGCAGATCTTTGACGACTTTCACACTTAGTTTGGCATCTCATAATTCTGAAAATGAAAATATCACTTAATGTTTTTGGCCATACCTCCATGATGTCATAATACCACATTTAAATGATAGAATTGTTCTTTTTTTTTTTTAATCAAAAGGTATTTTATTTATTAAAATAGCCTAATAATATAAACCATGATCCTGCATATGGTGACAGAACAGACTGTCCATAGACCCAGTGTTGGGGTCTGTTTGTAATCATCTCAAACTCCAATATATAGTTCGCTGTGATGGTTCTGTACAGTACAAGAAAAGTGATAAATTGCATTAGTGTGGTTCTTTGCATTGAATGGGTGTAAATCGTGAAGTATTCTCTTGTTCGCTGTATGCAAGAATGTTCTTGTATTTGCGTGATGACACCTGGTGTATCCGGTGTGCTTGACCTGATCTCACTCTCACGTGTTGTGTTCTTTTATGTAGCTACTGAATTCAAGTAAATGCTATCTTTGAGAAAACAGTTATACCAAAACTATGATGTTAAAAAAAATAAAAATACCAGTCATCTCCAATTGTATTTCTACCAGTGTAGACCCTCACTTTGTAGGGCTCTCTTTAGTCCTGGTTGGTTAAAAATGAGAGGATATAATAATCTGATGTGTGTACATATTAAAAGCAGTTTGTTTTTTGTGAAGCATGAGGGTGTTTGCCATTCCGTATTTCCTAGTTGTCTTGTACATTTTTATTTTTATTTTTTATTTTATTTTATTTTTTTGAGAAGCAAGAAGTGGTCTTTATCTCCCAGGACACTGTGGTGGAAGCTTGTTTCCTCCATGGGTTTAAAAGAAAGTTAAAGTAATTTCGACAAAATTCAGAATTGTGAAACTCAAATTGTTTACCTTTTTTCTCAAAACTGTGAGCTTACATCTCGCAATTCTTGATGAAAGGTAATTGTGACCATTTATCTCACAATTTTGACCTTTTTTCTTCCAATTGCAAGTTTACATCTTGCAATTCTGATTTTATATGTAGCAATTGTGACTTTTGTTCTGATAACTGCAAGAAAAAAAGTCAGAATTGTGAGATATAATTGTGAATCCAAATTGTGTGAGAATTTATTTGGTTTTTGTTTTTTGTATTAAATATTTTTTTAAACCCATGGTGGAAGCAAGTTTCTATAAGTAACTGTAAACTCTGAACAATATGTAATAAGTTCTTTGCTGTTCACATCAGTTAATCCTGAAAACGATCATCTAAAAGCAAGTTCATAGCAGAACAGCACTGCAAACAGTGTGAGGTGGACTTTAATTGGCCACAGACATGAGATGCTATATTTAAACAGATATGAGGCTGTAGATTTGACTGGATATTAAGATCAGAATTGTGAGATATAATTGTGAATCCAAATTGTGTGAGAATTTATTTGTTTTTTGTTTTTTGTATTAAATATTTTTTTAAACCCATGGTGGAAGCAAGTTTCTATAAGTAACTGTAAACTCTGAACAATATGTAATAAGTTCTTTGCTGTTCACATCAGTTAATCCTGAAAACGATCATCTAAAAGCAAGTTCATAGCAGAACAGCACTGCAAACAGTGTGAGGTGGACTTTAATTGGCCACAGACATGAGATGCTATATTTAAACAGATATGAGGCTGTAGATTTGACTGGATATTAAGATCTCATTTTCACAACCAGGGTTTTTGTCCTCTTGAAATGTTTTAGGAAGATGTATTTTCAGTGTTGCATCGGCTGAATATTTAAAGGTACAGCCCATTCATCCCTCACAGCCTCATTTTCATTCTTGTATAATTAAATATGGTGTTTTCTCTCCACTAAGGTTATCTACTCGGTCTGAACCACTGTTTATAGCCACAATCAAACTTGTGAGTGAAGTGACATGTGGCCAAGTATGGTGACCCATACTCGGAATTAGTGCTATGCATTTATCCCATCCAAAGTGCACACACACAGCAGTGAACACACACACCGTGAACACACCCGGAGCAGTGGGCAGCCATTTATGCTGCGGCGCCCGGGGAGCAGTTGGGGGTTCTATGCCTTGCTCAAGGGCACCTCAGTCGTGGTATTGAAGGTGGGAGAGAGCGCTGTACATTCACTCCCCCCACCTACAATCCCTGCCGGTACAAGATCATTAATATATTTCATCATTAATTGTAAGATCAGTTGGCCTTCTTTAAGCTCTACTGAAATACTTTACTATCTATAATGTTTTTGTGAAGTGGAGGTACATACTAAACATGATTTTACTAACTCCTGAATGTCCAAAATCAACTTCTGTTAAATGTCTGTTGATATTGTTTATATTAATGGTCAATCAAATCACATACTCCATCTGTAAAGCACTATGGTCTTGTGAATCATTTCCAGTCTAGTGACTAAGATCATCTGTTTTCTTGCACTGGAACTGTGGAGAGATGCTTTTTTTTGTTTAGTTTTTTGTTACATGGATAAGTGTTTATTTTAAAACATTCCAATTTGGATCTGATGGATCACACTGCGAGGCTGCTTTAAGTCTTATTATTGTGGAGCTTCCAGGACCTGGATTGGCTGTCTTGTGGTTTAGTGGTTCAGGAGTTGTGCGGTAAAGATGACCTCTTAACCATTTCTCCTGTTTCAGTTATTGTTAAATATGTTAATGTGGTGATTCCATTGTTTTGATGTGTACAAGTGGATCCTCTAGACTTCCTAATTGTCCTTGAAGAAATAAAAAGAAATGTGAAAAACAGTTCGATGCATGAATTTTTGTTTTTATAGTTGCCAGTATCATCACAGCATAACTCAAACACTAGGTTATCAAATGACTAATTATTCTAATGGAGGCATGGAAATGCAAGTCCATGATCCTTCAGCCAATAGGAGTAAACTGATCACCCCTCATTACCATATTGCATGATGAAATGCACTACCTTTTAAATGTTTTTGAAATAAGTCTCTTATTATCACCAAGGCTGCATTTAATATAATCAAAAATACAGTACAAAGTAATATTGTGAAATGTTTTTGTGGTTTATTGAATGCATTTCAAAATGTAATATATTCCTAATCGTTTTCAGCAGTATACCTTATTCATCAGAAATCATTCTAAAATGCTGATTTGGTGCTCAAGAAACATTTCTTACTATCAATGTGGAAAACAATTGATGCATGATATTTTATCAGTATTCTTTGACAAATAGAACGTTTCTATTAAAACAGTCATTTCATGTGGGTTCTGCAGTTGCACTGTGGCCTTTAATGGTAATGATAACTTTGGTTTATGCATTCAATATTCACTCTATTCAGGAAAATAATTTTATAGTCCTGGGACATCAGATTGTGTTGGGTAATCTTGTTTTTAACAATGTAAAATTCTTAACTGTCACTTTTGATAGTGCATCTTTTCTGAACGAAAACAATTTATTAAAAAGAAGTGATGGAAATAAATATGTAAATAAAAGAAGAAACATGCATAATGTAAATGAATAAATTGAAAGAAAATTAAAATAGAATTTCTCAATTTGATTATGTATTTTGTTTTCTGCAGTATACATTTATTACATAATCTTTATTTATTTATTTACTCATTTTCGGTTTTGCAGGAAAGTGGGTAAAATATGTCTTCTTATTCTGGAACATAACAGGATAACAGTATTTGTTATCAAAGTCGTGAGGCAAGTTTTCACGTGTTTACATATACAGAATTTATAAATCAATTTTTGCAACAAAAAAAAAAAAAGGTTTGTTTTTGCTGTTTAAAGCAAATCAAAATAAAAATGGGAAGAAAAAAAACATATCATACAAGGGGAACTGCCAATGTAGACAATGATATGCATTATTTCGCTGAAGGTTATTCGTGATTTATTAAATGCAGTATTGTACAAGCATCAGCGATCAGGTGACAGCTTCAAACATCCACCAGATGGCGCCAAAGGACGCGACACTGTTGCATGGCTTTCAAGCATCGCTTGTTTAGCTGGTGCATCGCTTGTCACGGCTGCTGCTTGATGCTATATATTTATATAGAAAATTTAAAAAAATAAGGTAACCCTTTAAGAAACATGAATCTACATTGAGCGTCGCCTGCCATTCGCGACAGCAGTAACGTGCATTTCATTGTTGACTGAACTGCAGTGAACAAACATTTGGCCAAAGAATGGACCACGATGGATGTTTGTTTCTCTCGCGCTCAATCCTGCTCGTGTGAAACTCAAACTGCATAATAATTGGAAAAGAGCTGCTATTAGGACAAAAAAAATGCTAACATAAAAGTAAATGATAATTAAATGTTTAAAACCAGAAATACCAAAACAAAACAGTACATGATTGCATAGCGAGATATAAACTGCGTCCTCTTGCGGCTAATAAGCGAACCTCCGTTTGAGCCCTCCGAGTCTCCGTACTAAAGAAAACCTGCCTCCCTATGCCTTTATTCGCACACCCATCATCTCTCCTCGCCAAAAAACACAGAACGGACAGATGAAAATACACGGCAAAATATTTAGTATCATCACTGGAGTGTACGCTGCTGTCAAGGGCTTTCAATAACATGGAGATATATAATATTCCTGCAATATGGCATAATCCTTTCGTCAGTGTGCATTTCTTTCCGAAAAATGAATTAATCGACGTTGTCGGCAGAAAGAAATAACGCTATCCGGCAAGTAACTCCCTCGTTTTATATGGATATTATGATAAAACTAACTGTATTTCACACAGATGACACATTTATGGCTGAAACTGACAGTTCTTCCGAAATAGACAGTCAGCTGAAGTGAATACAACAAAGATGAATCTCTTATAGAGGAGCTCCCTAGCTTGCAAAGGATCAAGGTAAGAAATGACATGTTTGTGTTCATGGTTTGCAAATTTGAAACATTTTTTTTTAAATCTCTGCATGACTTCCTTTGAACGATGCTCTTTGTTGTTTTTCTCTTATATCGCATGCTATCTTTATTGCCTGCCATCTTAATCAAGGCGTAGAGATGCTTCCTATACAATCTCAACTCTTGGCCAGATCGCAATACCACAAAATAGGCTTTATTTTCATCGACATGCACATTTCAGCTCCTCCCAGCAGAGTCGAGTATAGGGATGATACTGTGTAATGGTACCCACCACAGCATCCATGGACAGCATCTTGCCCAGTGTCTCCAGATAGGAAGCTGGCAGGACATGTGTGACTTTGTGGCCGAAGATCTATGAGCATGGAGAAGAATTCAGAGTAACACTTTTTATAAAGTCTGTATGAATAATGCATTGCAATGGTATTTTGAATGCATTCTTAAAATGCATCTTTTAATCACATATTCTTATTAATAACAAACAACATTATAATACCTATTTATACATTGAAAGAGTGACTTAAAACATGATTAAAGCCATATTGCATGTCTATACTCTTTCTTAAGCACGAATAGGTACATTTTAAAATCTTTGGTTAACATTTTTATGAACATTTTTGAATCCATTATGTTTGCAGACTTAATGGAAAGTGTTATTGAATATTGTGTGGTAAGCTTTCTAGAGGTGGTTTATGAATCAAGGCTGGAATAACTAGAAATTTGTTGAATATTTACAAAAGTTTGGCACATAATATTTCCTATTAACCTTTTGATTAGTAAATTATTGATGAGAGCACATCATGGCACGTTAGTCTCATGGCAACTGATGTTTATGGGGTCCAATTTACATGCAGCTGTTCTCCCTATTTATTTAATCAGTGATTGCAGTATATCTTTTTAATTGCACATATTGTAATACAGTCCATTCTTAAATAAATATCAGATTTGTTTATTATAAGCTCATACAGTATATGGCATTGAGGCACTTTCCCAAAACCTCAATTTTTTTTCTTTTTTTGATGTTTTAAGGGGTTTTAGGATTGTTTGTTTCACTTGTAAACAAACAATTTTTCTTTCTTTAACCTTTCAGAATCCTTTATCGGGTCTGTTTCTGCTGAATATTTTCCATCTTGGATGTTACAATCACAATCCCTAACAATAACACACATTGTCAGTAAGGATTGAATCTGTTTTAATAGGTTTTGCTTCTAATTTTTCAAATAAATTTCAAATAAATAAAATATAATTTACATGTTTTTTTTTTCTTTAAGTAGACTAGCATTATTTCCAATTATTCTGATTCGGTTTAAAGGCTATTCCAGTTGTTTTAAACTACTTTTAACAGTGTTATGATGGTGAACATAAATATACATATATCACTGACAGGATGGAAAGTTAAGGTGGCAGTTTGTTGTTTCAGCTTGACTCATTTGCAGTCAATCACTTTTGCTGTCTGATATGTGATCCATTAGTTCTCAGTGGATCCTCTAAATGACTTTCTCTCAGCGTCTGTATCTGTTCCTCTCATTCACCCACACAATCTGATTTTTAAGCTCTCTTTCTACAGCGAGAGCCCAAGGGCGGATTGTCCGTTGGTCCATTTTGCAGTTTGTTTTAAACAGGAGCTGCTCTGTTTGGCTAATCTACCTCCATCCACCAGAGATAAATGACCTTTTGAGTCTGCTGCGATTCCTTTTCTTGCTTGATGGGAATGGTTTTGATGGGAAATTAGGGGCAAATGTATATTGTGTTTTATTGAACAGTGCAAATTTAGAGACCGGATCACTGGTCATACAGATGAGAAATCATTGGGTGTTGGGATTTGTTGTCATGGGAACAGTAAGACCCGTGGCACAAAGGTGGCGTGAAGTGGACTGCTTTGTTTTGAACACCGGCTTTGTCTGATTTTTGTCTCTTCCTCAAAGTTTAAAGTTCATTTTTCTGCACTCATGAGCACGGAAATAACAAATTATTAATGATATCAGACCAAGTCTAGTTGCGCCCGAAAGTACAAAATGTGTTTGTCGTTTGTAGTTTATTTCTGAGGGAGTTGCAAGGGCATTTAGGTGAATGGGGATAATCATGTCTAAGTCTATCCAGATGCCAACTTAGAGGTCCGTCCAAACGAAGGCTTCAGCTGGGGCGGTTTAATTTGTCTCTTGGCTCGGAGTAGAGTGAGCAGCTGGACTTGAGGCAGGCAAAAGCTGGGGCCGCGGTCTGTGGAGCTTACAAGCTAACAGAGCTGGAGCGCAGCCACCCAAGACTTCCTTCTGCTTGTTTGTGTGCTGTGATATAGACTGTGTCTAGAAACAATGCTGTCTCATAATTAGCCGCTCGGGTTCACACGTCGGTGCGATGACTTACCTTTGTGATATTCCGAATTAGATACATTTCAAACCCTGAAAGGACTCGATTATGTAACTGTTTAGTGCTCATTCAAGGCAGCTGAAACTATGTCAAGCTTGAGTTAGCCTTACAGGAATATTCCACATTCAATAAAAGTTGAGCTCAATCAACTGCGTTTGTGATATAATGTTGATTACTACAAAAAAATAATTCAGACTCATTTTACAGGTTACAGTTTTTGGAGTATTTGGCAGCAGAAATGTGAAGCGGCGTCATTACTGTTAAACTAAAACTAGTAAAATGATTTCTGTTAATTGAAAGCTATATATATATATATATATATATATATATATATATATATTATAGAGAAAAAAAT